TGAACTTTTAAGCGTTTGTGAGAATGAGTTTCAAAAGGTTTAAAAATTCCAATAATTTTTTTTTTAGTATTAACCTCTTGGTATCCTGTAATCATATTGGGTCTCGATTAATCCGAAATCGAGCAGCATCAGATCTCATTAGGAGAAGCTTTCTCAACGTCTGTTTCTTTATTCACAAGACTCAAACTCGAGATCTTGTTTAAGAAGAACTGAACTTCTTCTACTTGGACTAATAAATCGTTCGTAAAAAAAATTCTAATAATTGGTTTACTGTATAACTAGTTATTAGAATAACTTTTCAGTGTTGACTACAAGATGGTTATTTTATGACTTATGAAATAGACATCGCTGATGAGAAACATTTCATATGGTTTAATCTATTATATTAGTTTTGAATTTTTTATTATTTTCAAGAATAATATGTGATTTTTAATAAATTTTATATGGTTTTATTCTTTGTATAGAAAATGACTTGAATGCTTAATAATAGGAGCTTTTGGGATTAATCAAATATCTTTTGAAAGTTCAGGGACTGAATTGCTAGAAGAAAGGTTCCTTTTTGGGACCTAAATGAATGAATCTTAAGTTATGAGATCAAAGTGCTAATTGTATAAAAGCTTGAGGATCAGATCTGCCGTTTTACCATTGAAGAAAGTACAAAATGTTGGAAACCGACACGGGTATGGTGTCGACACATATATGGTGGTGTCAACACCAAAAGCGCGTCTAGCATTGAAATTTCGTGTTTTGTCCAGAGTCTTTTTTTTTTTTTTTTTCTTTTTTAATAGAGTTTTTTAAACTCTACATATACTTATTCAAAAACCAGACTTAGGATTTTTAGGGAGAGACCAAGCGAGATGATTAAGAGAAATTTAACATTAACACTTGAGATTTTATATTGTTAAATTAACTTTATTTATTCTTAAATTTTATTTTATGATATCAAATACTTTTATGTTTATTATAGAATCTTTGATTTTTTTAATTATTAACTAATTTAATCATTTAAGGTTACGATATAATCTGATTAATTTAATATAAAATTTCATTATTTTTATATTTTTAAAGTTTGTTATTTCATATAGAATGTAAAGATTATTGTTTTTAATATTTTTTTAATTATTAACTACCATTAAAACTTAATTGAAAAGTATAATTGAAATTGAGATGAGATTTTTTATAATAACTTCTAATAATATACACCATGAATTGAACGAAAATCAAAGATCGATAAATGTAATTCATGTAACATTAATGATAAGTTGACTTAATTTTTTACCTAAATTAGAGAATTTTACATAATGTAATATATTTTTATCTATTTAAATTTATATAAAGACAAAATAAGTTAATAAGTGAAGATATGTTTGGTATGATTTGATAATGTGTATTGAATAGAATAAGAAATCATATGCTATCATATGAATAATAAAGACCTTATAAATATATTAATCTAAATTCTATATTAGTTGACGATGGTAAAATTGGATATTTTAGAATTTCAACTCTTGGTATGATTTAAAATCAATTTCGTTTTTCTTTAATTAGTTTAGTTAATTAATCTATTTAAATCATTTAATTATAATTGTTTAAATAAAATTAAAATTAATTAATTTTACTATTTAATTAATTAAAAACCAGATACTTAATTTTCAATATTATATTATTTGAACTAATTAGTACTTTTATTATAATGAAATTAGCTCGTTAATAACATCAGTTAGAGCAATAACTCAGAAAAAGTAGACACAACCAGGAGGGAAGAGCTCACAGCTTCAGGAATCATGAATCATGTAGAGTTGATTTTCAAAATATCCCTGTAGTAAAGTAGTTGGTTACCAACTTGTGCAGGATGGGGGTCTACTCTATCTTTGCCTGAGCCAATATGTTAACACAGCTCGCCGCCTGTACATTTGTTGCTGAAGACATGCTCTCTTAGGATCCATCTTGCAGCTGAAATCATACATAAACATGGCCAGAAATTACTAATCTCAACAACACACTTTCTGCTCTTAGCCCTTTTAACAGGAGAACACTCCAACCCAGTAATCTATCTCCACCAAAACCAGAAAGGGAGTAAATTTATAAACTGAAACACAACATATTTTGCTTCTAGAAGAATTGAAACACATCATATAACGTGTTACTACGTTAATAGTCGAGATATGATTGATGAAACATCTCATTGTTGGTACGTTATAGCTTTGGGCTTACTATTCCAATTTCTGAAGATACTGCCTGGGTCAGTAGAAATAGACAGGCACTTCAGCCCAAATTTCCTTTAGTGCCTGTTGTTGGTGTGGTGCAACTTTGCAAACCATACTTCTACTGTCCTCCATCCCCTCCGAACGAGCCAAAATCCAAAGTAAGGAAACGACAAGACAACGACGTCCATGACACTGACTCCACCATAGGAGAAGGCACCTCCACCTAGCATAGCCTAAACCCCATTTCCACTACGGCTCTACCTCCTCGTCCTTCCGCCAGCCAGCCACCACCAATCATGCAGGTTGCCCTCTTAACTCCGCGGACCACCGCGCTCGTCTTAATCCAACCTCTCAGCCCTTGTCATGTCTCACATAACCGAGGCCGCCTTCCAAGCCACCCATCGTATCTCCG